GCATCAGAGGAGCAGGAAAGTTGACGTTTCGGGTCAGGACCCTTCTTCAGATAACACACTGTTATCTCTGACTCCAGCATCTGCAATTCTTATTATCTCTGGATTGAAATGTTGTTTAGCATAGCAAGACAGATGAGCAGCTTGTCACACTGGGGTGTATCCCAGAGGGTGGACATGTCATTATGTGGTACCACGCTATATAAATGTTACCCCTGAAGCAACTTACAGGGCAAACAGTGCATTTGCTTCAAGCAGATATCATAGCTATTATAGAAATGTGACTCGGGGTGGACAGGACTGGCAGCTTAATGTTCTGAGGTATAGATGCTATAGGAGGATAGAAAGGGAGGCAAGGGGGAGCAGGAGTGATGCTTTTGATTAGGGAGAGCATTACAACTGTACTTAGGGAGGACATTCCTGGGAGTTTGTCCAGTGAAGTTGTATGGGTGCAACTTTGAAATAAGAAAGGGATGACGACCTTGTTGGGATTGTATTTTTAGGGGGAGGTGACAGCCTGGTGCTATTATCATTGGACTGTTAATCCAGAGACCCAGGTAATGTTCTGGGGACCTGGGTTTGAATCCTGCCACAGCAGATGGTAGAATTTGAATTCAATAAAAAAAATTGGAATTAAGAGTCTAATGATGATGACCATGAATCTATTGTCGATTGTTGAAAAATCCCATTTGGTTCACTAATGCCCTTTTAGGGAAGAAAACTGCCATTCTTACCTTACATGTGACACCAGATCCACAGCAATGTGGTTCATTCTTAACTGCTCTCTGGGCAATAAATGCTGGCCTGGCCAGTGATGCCCAGATTCCGTGAATGAGAAAAAAAGGTCAGCAGGAAATCGAGAAGTAAATATGTAACAAGAGCTCAGATATCTGTAAGAAAAAGAGGATAGTAATGGTAGGGGATTTTAACTTTCCGAACAGACTGGGACTGTCATAGTGATACGGGCTTGGATGGGGAGGAATTTGTTAAGTGTGTACAAGAAAACTTTCTTATTCACTATGTGGATGTATCCACAAGAGAAAAAGAAAAGCTTGACCTTCTGTCGTAAGATAAAAAAAGGGCAAGTGACACTTTGGGTCAAGTGATCATAATTCTATTAGTTTTAAAATAGTTATGGAAAAGGATAGAACTGGTAAAAAAAAGTTAAAATTCTAAATTGGAGTAAGGCCCAAAGCTGGTATGCGTAGGGAATGCTGGATGACTAGAGAAGTTGAGGCTCTGGTCAAGAAAAAGCAGAAAGCATATATCAGGTATAGAGAGCTGGGATCGAGTGTATCCCTAGAAGAGTATAAGGGCAGCAGGAGTATACTTAAGAGGGAAATCAGCAGGGCAAGAGGGGACATGAGATAGCTTTCACAAATAGAGTTAAGGAGAACCCAAAGAGATTCTACAAATACATTAAGGGCAAAACAGTAACTAGGGAGAGAATAGGTCCCTTAAAGATCAACATGGCTATCTATGTGTGGAACCACTGGAGATGAGTGAGATACAAAACAAATATTTTGCGTTAGTATCTCTAGGTGCTGGAGGTCTTGAAATGCAAAAAGATAGATAAATCCCCAGGACCTGATCAGGTGTTTCCCCTTTGTGGGAAGCTAGGGAAGAGATTGCTGGAGCCCTTGCTGAGATACTTGTCTCATCGCTAGCCACAAGTGAGGTGGTGGAGGACTGGAGGTTGGCTGATGTGGTTACATTATTTAAGAAAGGCTGTAAGGACAAGGCAGGGAACTATAGACCGGTGAGTCTTATGTCAGTAGTGGATAAATTGTTGGAGGGGATTCTAAGGGACAGAATTTAGATACATTTGGAAAGGCAAGGACTGATTAGGTATAGTCAGAATGGCTTTGTGCGTAGGAAATTGTTTCTCACTAACTTGATTGAGTTTTCTGAAGCGGTGACAAAGATGATTGATGAAGGCAGAGCAGTAGACATATTCTGTACGAACTTCAGCAAAGCATTCGATAAGGTTCCGCACGGTAGACTGGTTAGATCACATGAGATCCAGGGAAGAGCTAGCAAACTGGATACAAAATTGGCTTGAAGATAAGAGACACAGGGTGGTGGTGAAGGGTTGTTTTTCAGACTGGAGGCATGTAACCAGTGATGTATCACAAGGATCAGTGCTGGATCCACTGCTATTTGTCTTTATATAAATGATTTGGATGTGAATATAGAAGGTATGGTTAGTTAGTTTGCAGATGACACCAAAATAGCAGGTGTAGTGAACAGTGAAGAAGGTTACCTCAGAGTACAATGGAACCTTGATCAGATGGGCCAATGGGCTGAGGAGTGGCAGGTGGAATTTAATTTAGATAAATGTGAAGTGTTCCATTTTGGTAAGGCAAACCAGAGCAGGACTTATACACTTAGTGGTAGGGTCATGGGGAGTGTTGCCGAAGAAAGAGACCTAGTGGTGCATAGTCGCAAGTAGAGGGGATGGTGAAGACAGCCTTTGGTATGCTTGCCTTCATTGGTCAGAACATTGAGTAAAGGAATTGGGATGTCATGTTGCACCTGTACAGGACATTGATGTGGCTATGTTTGGATTACTGCATAGAATTCTGGTCACCCTCCTATAGGAAGGATGTTTTTAAACTTGAGAAGGTGCAGAAAAGATTTACAGGGATATTGCCAGGACTGGAGGATTTGAGTTATAGGGAGAGCCTGATTAAGTTGGGTCTTTTAGAGATTTATAAGAGGGATGACCTTTTAAGATTTCTAAAATCATGAGGGGCATGGATAGGGTGAATAGATAAGGTGTTTTTCTCAGGGTAGGGGAGTTCAAAACTAGAGGAGATAGATTTAAGGTGAGCATGGAAAGATGTAAAAAGGACCTGAGGGGTAAGGTTTTTCACACAGAAGGTGGTATGTATATGAAATGAGCTGCCAGGGAGGTAGTGGGAGCTGGTACAATTACAACATTTAAAAGGCATCTGGATGGGTATATGAATAGGGAGGGTTTAGAGGGACATGGGCCAAATACTGGCAAATGGGACAAGGTCAGATTGGGATGCCTGGTTGGTATGGATGAATTGGACTGAAGGGTCTGTTTCAATGTTGTGTGACTCTGTCACTGTATGACTCTTTAACTCTATAAATGGCCACATATGACTGTCCAGGGTACCAGTCCTTAGTGAGGTGAAATAGGGCTACAGTCAGTCTGGGGGTGCCACCGCAATCAGTCATGGGGCTGGTCTGATTCCAGTCAAAGGGATTGGCTATGGCCAGCCAGGAGCTTAGTCTTACCAGAGTCTGTGGATTCATGTCCACACAGCCCAAGGATTAGGCTACAGTCTGTTCTGCAGGTCAAATGCAACCAGTTCAGGAGATAGGTTCATTTGTGTGCTGTGAGACATCAGTCTGGAAGTGGACCCATTTTCCCTGTAATGAGACAAAGGAAGGGATTGAATATGGTGGAAGAGCATGGAAGAGCCATTTCTAGCAATGCATGAACAGGAGAGATAACATCATCAATGAGTGAGTAGGAAGCACAGAGGGCAAGAAGGATTTGTCATTTGGAAGGGTGAGAGCCATTGAGTTGACATGATGCATGTAATAATCAGAGTTGTACTCTATGAACCTTGAAGAAAGGTATGTGCAATGGCAGAGTTAGAATGGGTTACAGCACAGAGGAGATAGTAAGAACTGCTGATGCTGGAGTCAGAGATGATATAATGTGGAGCTGGAGGAATGCAGCAGGCCAGGCAGCATCAGAGGAGCAGGAAAGTTGACGTTTCAGGTCGGGACGCTTCTTCAGAAAT